CAACAAGGAAGACAATAATTGTATAATTATATACATTTAGCACACACGCTAAATGTAGAGTAATAACAGAATACTTTTGAACTATTAAAAATGTCAAATGTGAGGAATATGTGTTGAGAAATGGGTTGAGTTCCAAGGAATTATGCAAACAAAGAAAAACCAGAACAACGTGCACTAGGAATACACAAAGGGGAAACCACCATTTTGTGTGTGTGTGTGTATGTGTGTATATACATATATGCACATATGTAAATGTGCACATATATGTATGTATATTATATATGTTATAAAGATATGAAAGGACAGACACAGAAATGAGAAGGGAATAGAAAGAGGATAAATTGGTGTTATTAATTTTAAAAGAATTTAAGTTCTTTTAGGGAAGGATTTGTTTCCTTTATATTCCCAAAGCTTAGTGCATTGCTTGGCACATGTTTGGTGCTTAATAAATGCTTTTTGAAGGTAAATAGCTTTGATTATATTGGTATAGCAAGTTATTTTGTTTTAATTTTTTGTTTTGTTAAGATTTGGTTCATAATAAAAATAGATGAAGAAAGAAAATAATCCCAGTGGAGAAAGAAAGAGGTGGCAATATAAAAAAACAATGTGGCTCTTTGTGATCTCAGATTTAAAAATTCTTTGCAACAATCTGAAATTCAGTGCATGTTAACAAAGTCAAACACAAAAGAATGACGTGAACTTAGAACAATAATATTAATGCCAGAGAGGCTGAAGTCCACAGTGATCTGAGCCTTGACTAAAAGGTTAAGGATGATAAAAAAACTTTAAAATTAATGTTTGGAGCTGAAAGAGTAAGAAAGGAATAGGCCCATGGCTTGGGGGGAAGGAAGTCGGCACAATCTTAACTAATGGCAGAGACGGCAGCACTACTTAACTCCTTTTGGACCCACGTCTGTATTAGTCAAAATTTTCTTCTGCTTGGAAAAGATGTAGCAAATAGGAATAAAATGGAATTGAAACTCTAGATGAGGTAAGACTGCACCTAGCTGCTTGAATTGAGTTCAGTCTTTAGCTTAAACAAATTATATTCCAAGATCCAGAGGGGGAAAAAAAGCAGATAATTATCATGGAATCACTGCTGATTATCTCTGAGGAATAATTAAGAATGGAGAAGGAGTCAGAAGCTTAGAGGCAGTTAATTTTTTTTTAAATGGGATTTCCAGAATCTATGCAGATTCTGGAAAAGTGAAGATGGGTGAAATTGTCATTGATCTCTGCAAAATTCTAGAACAGGTTATGATTATTATTTTAAAATAAAAATTTTATCAGTGCTTTTGGAAAATGTTAGCCTTAGGGGCAGCTAGGTGGCAATGGATAGAGCACTGGCCCTGGAGTCAGGAGGACCTGAGTTCAAATCTGGCCTCAGACACTTGATATTTACTAGCTGTGTGACCCTGGGCAAGTCACTTAACCCCATTGCCTAGGCCCCCCGCCAACAAAAGGAAAATGTTAGTCTCACTTACCAGTGATCTTCCCACCCTCGTGGAACTCTTCCTTGTAACAAAGAAGTATAGTTAAGCAAAACAAGCCAAAATATTGGCTAAGTCTGACAAAATATCACTTATTTTGCCCCTACAAGCTTCTCTGCCAAGAGAAGAGAGTCATGCTTCAAAGGCTGTCCTCTGAAGTCAAGATTGGTGCCTGCATTGACCAAAATTCTTATGTCTTTCAATGTTTTTCTTTCATGTTATTTCAGTCACTGTATCTCTGGTTCTGCTTGCGTCACTGTGCAATAATTCATTACAATCTTCTTCAGTGTCTCTGAATTCTTCACAGTTATCATTTCCTACAGAGCAATAATATTCCATTACATTTACATACTATGATTTCTTTCACATCAGTTGATGAAACACTTTCTTTTCAGTTATTTGTTGCCACAGAAATTGCTGTATAGGGAGATAGGGAGGGTTTGTGTGTGTGTGTGTGTGTGTGTGTGTGTGTGTGTGTGTGTGGCCAAAATAGAAGATCAAGTCAATCTATAAACCTTTTTTAAGCACCTATTATGTTCCAGGCACTGTGCTAACATCTGGGGATACAAGTACAGAGAATGAGACAACCCATGCCCACAAGGAGCCTGCATTCTAATGGGGGAGACCACAAGTATATGTACAAGTATGTCTAGAATGGGGTGGGGAACCAGTGGCCTTGAGGCCACATGTGGCCTTCTAGGTCCTCAAATGCCTGAGTCCAAGGGTTACAGAATAAATCCTTTTATTAAGAGGATTTGTTCTGTGGAGTTTGGATTTAGTCAAAGGGTCGCACTTGAGGACGTAGAGGGCCACAGGTTCCCAACCCCTGCTCTAGAATAAATATAAAGAAAACAAATACAAATATATACAAAGTAATTAAGTACTAGGTAGTTTGGGAAGGAAGGCACTAATCAATTAAGTAAAGTCAACAAATATTTATTAAGCACCTGCTTACATGCCAAGGACTATTATAGGCATGAGGGATATCAGAGATTTTATTGGGGGGCAGTATATCAGGAAAAAATTCATGCCAAAACAATACCTGAATTGCATCTTAAAGGAATAGATGGATTCTCTTACGGAATCCAGAAGCCAAAAGTGAAGAAGGAACATTCCAGATATGAGGAACAGATTGAAGGTTAGTTTTGCTGGGCTGCAGAGTACAGGAGGGAGAGAAATGTGCAATCAAGTTGGAAAGATAGGATGGAGCCAGGTTGTAAAAGGATTTAGTGGCTAAACAGAAGCATTTGTATTTTATCCTAGATGCAATGGGGAGCCGCTAGAATTATTTGAGTAGGGGAACTACATGGTCACATCTGCGCTGAAGGGAAATTACTTTGGAAACAAAGTGTAGGATGGACTGGAGCAGGGAAAGACTTGAGACAAGGAGACTGACTAGGAGGCTGTCGTGGCAGTCTAGGTGAAGGATGATGAGAGCCTTAACTAAGGTGGTAGCTGTGTGAGTAGAGAGATGCTTTGTTGGTAAGAACCACAAGGTTTGACAGCTGACTGGATATGTGAGTTTAGAGAGAGTGAAGAGTCCAGCATGATGCCAATGCTATGAGTCTAAGAAAAGGGAAGGACAGTGATGCCTTCGGAAGAAATGCGGAAGTTTGGAAGAGAAGAGGGTATGGGTCGGGGGGAGATAATTATCTCAGTTTGGGTATGTTGAGTTTGAGATTCTCCCAGTTTTTTAAAATGTAATTTTACGGGAGAGGATTCTGGGGAGATGGTAGAAAAGATCATTCCAAAATTCCAAGCTCTCAAGATTTCCTCCACATACAAGACAAAATAGTGCCTCAAGGTCCACATAGAGGAGCAAAAATAAACAAGAGTTGGGGCAGAACGGTGAAACCTTAAACACATGAATTTTCAGCTCCCAGACAGTATGGGGAATTGGGCATTTGAGGGGGGAAGATTGAAGGAAACTCTGCTGACAAGGGACACCAGAGGTAAGAAGATAGGGTGGAAGGAGAGGAGAGGTAGGTTAAGGAATAGGAGGAGAAGATAGCAGGTAGAAGTAAAGTAGATGAATGAGGCGGGATAGGAATAAGGTGAGAAGGAGAGTGAGGAAAATAAGAAGGAGGAAAATATGCAACAAGCAATTATTGTTTAGAATGTGAATGGCATGAATTTACCCATAAAATGGAAACTAATAGCAGATTAAAAATATGAATTCAACAGTATGTTGCTTTTAGGAAATACTATACAACATGAAATGCTAAAAAACGAGAAATACACATGAACATAAAGTAAAGGTCAGGAGTAGAATTTATTATGTAAACATGGAGGGATAATAATCATGATCTTAGACAAATTTAAAGCTAAAATCATATTTTATCAAAAGAGAAAAATAGGGAAACTACACTATGGGTCAGTCACATTAGTCAATGGTTTTAGACCATACAAAATAACTAGACACTATAAAAGAAAAGAATGCTCTGTTAGTTGCAATGTTTGTAGACCTCTCAGTTCGTCTCCCTATGCTGATGTTTTCTTGGATTTCTCAGCCAGGTCTTGGTCTGAGATGTTTTCTAGATCTTCATGGAAGAGTTCTGGGAGAGGGCTCAGCTGTATTTCTCACTACCCAGTCATCTTGACTCCTCTTACATTTCCTGGATGCTTCTAGTTTATAATATCAAATAAATAATTTGTGATGTAGGACTAAAATTCAAGTCAGAGACACATATGTGTATATACACATGCATATACACATATGTGTTACATATGTGTATATTATAAATGTAGCAATAGAAATAGAGACAGATATTACATGGGTTGAACTATCATGTCTAGCTAGATGAGTCACAGATCTATCTGTCTATCTATCTATCTATCTATCTATCTATCTATCTATCTATCTATCTAATCTAATCTACTTTATCTACCTACCTAAACTACCTCTCTCTCTGTCTCTCCATGTCTGTCTCTCTTCTGTCTATATCTGTGATTCATCTGCATAGCTGTAATAGTTCTGCACATATGAGCTGATGATGTTACTGAGAAAGAATGTAGAGAGGGGGTTTTTAATGTAGGTTCTGTGAATTTGTTCTTAAAAATATTTTGATAACTGCGTTTCAGTGTAATTGGCTTCCTTTGTAATCCTATGCATTACATTTTGTGCATTAAGAAAAAAGAAACATCCTGGGAAGAGATTCATAGGCTTCACTAGACTGGCAAAGGGTTTGAGGACACAAAAAAGCTTAAGAACTTAGGATACAGAAAAAGAGGAGAAGAGGGTCTGGGGCAGAAACTTGGGACTTTGATGCTGACAGACATCCACAATAGAAGCTTGAATGGGGACTTGTGGTTAAAAAATATTGACCTTGCCTTCTTTGCTTCCCAGCTCAAATTCACTTTGTGCTAAGCCAAAGAGGATCTTAAAAATGTCCAGTCCTAAATTAGATCACTATTTGTAGGTGAAGGTGTTTTTTTTCTTTTCTTTTTTTTTTTAAGGTAGACCAACCATTCTGTTTTCATCTAATCGGCTCAGAAATGTTGATGGGCAGTTTGCTCTTTACGTGGGTTTTGGAGGGGGTCTGGGGGCAGCACCAGCACGTCTGAAGCGGGATGGGGGTGCAGGATCCTTTTGTGGCTCCCCGACGGATTCTTCACTACCTTGCTTGGGGATCGCGCAGCTCACACAGCATTGTAATTTCACATAGTTTGGGCAGCACATGGAGTCGAAGACGCTGGCCTCGGAGATGTCCTTGACGGCCGCGGCTTCCACGATGTTGCAGATGACGAACTTCTCGACGGCCTTGTCCTTGGTCACGCAGCGGGCGAAGTTGGTGCAGCGGCCGGGCTGCACGTGGCCGCGGCCCTTCTTGGCACGCCTGTTGTTCCGCCTCTTCTTGGTCATCTCGGAAGCCAGGAACCCAAAAAGGCAGCTGTGGGTTTTTAATCTCCTTCTAGACACTGGAGTAAAACAAAACAAAACAACCATCAAGACAATTTTAGCCCAGGGGCAGCTATGTTTTGTTAGCTGATTGTGGTGGCTACGCGTGTCTACTCTCCTCATCAGGACAGATCTTTGAACTTGGCCAGCTAATTGCTTCTGCTTCTTGACATCAGTGCTTACGCCCTATTGAGTAACCCATCTATGACCCACACACTTAATTGAAGTTCTGAAATACTAGCCCCTAGAAAATGACAGTTTCAGAATTGTTCTTCGGGTTAGCTGATTTAATATTTTTTATTAGTCTTTCCTCATGTTCTTCTAAAAGGTTATCTAGATAGACTAACACTTCTAGATAATTCAGATCTCCCCATCATTCTCTATGAGCCCTTGAAATGTGCTCAGGAAGCTGTTATATCTAAGATTTTTTGGCGCATACACTCAAATGGGTGGGATTCTGCAGTGGAGATGAAGACAGTCTTCTCTTTTGCTTTTGTTCACCAGTGGGGACCCAAGAGCACCCACTGCATTACTCCAGTATTGAAAATTATTGGCTACTCAACCAACGGTACAGGGCATCTTGAACTCATGAAGTGGCATACTGCAGTGCTGTCAAACACATTGCAAGTGGCCACAAGCTATCCACCAAACTCCTTGTCAGAACCAGATTAAAATGAAATTGGGAAACAAAATAAACAAAAATGCAGTATGACATAGATGATGTTAATTTGTGGCGTTCTAAGTCAATGCAGGGATCTGTTTGTATTGGTGTTTGACATGCCTGGTGTACTTGTCCAGTTTCTAGTCGGTAGGGAATAGGAGGAAGGCTGCTAGCCAGAGCTGCAGCACATAGGATACTTGTGGGGTGGAAGACACGTAAAATTCTCCCATCAAGTAGAATCTAAGAGCGTATCTTCACTGCACAGCTGCTTCCTTAACTAGACCCTCAAAGGCTTTCAGTTCTTTCCAAAGACAACAAGATTGTGGATGGCCTTATAACTATCAACAATAAGAATCTTCCTTCTCTTTAAAAGCTCTTGCTAAATAAATGCTGCCAATGGAATTTCAATGCAATTGCTTATGGCTCCATTCACTTGCTCCCTGTTCCTTTGCTGGGAGTTCGTGGTCAAAAAGCTAACAGTTTCTTAATCTTCTAATTTGCCTTTCTTCCTATGATTTCTCCTGGAAGGGGGATATGTCATCTGGTGAACTTTCAGGTACCTTGGGGGAACTTGTTAGTGATGCAATTTACCTATCTTTAACATTGCCATGAGGTTTCTAGAATATTTAGGATCTAATAGAGTCTATTAAGATATATAAGTAGCTATGATAGAAAGTAGAGTGTGACAATTAATAATAATAATAGCGAACATTTGTGTAACATTTCAAGGTTTGCAAAGTACTTTATGAAAGAGAAATCTAGATGAAGTGTTTTAGGATGATTTGGGGAAGGATACATCACTTTCAGCTGGGATATCAGGGAAGACTCCATGAAGGAGGCAATACTTGAGTTGGGACTTGAATGATGAGAAAGATTTCAACAAGTGAGATACTCAGGGAATGCATTCCAGGTTGGAAGATGGCATGTGTAAATGGATGGAGGTGAGAAAGTTGATGACGAGATCAGTTGACAATTAATAGTTCAATATGTACTGGACTATAAAGTTTATGAAGAAGGTTAGTATAAAATAAGGGTGGAAAATGTGGTTGGAGCCACATTGTGAAGAACCTTATATAAGAGAGGAGTTTGCATTTTATTTTATAGACAATAGGGAAATACTGAATATTTCTTGAGCAGGGGAGTGACATGATATGATCCTACCAGTGCTTGAAAAACATGATTGTGGCAGCTGTGTGAAGGGTAAGTTGGAAAGGGAAGAAAATGGAAGCAAAGAGAGTAATGAGGAGCTTCTTACAACAATGTAGGTGAGCAGAGATAAAAGCTTGAAGTAAGATGATGGCAATGTGAAAGAAAAGGAGAGGTCTCACATTCCAGAGGTAGGCTCGACAGGACTGCTTATGGTGAGAGATGAAGGAGATAAAACAATCAAAGACAACTCAGTAATTGTTAAGCCTGGGTGACAGAGAAGATGGTGATGTCGGTGACAGAAATAGGAAAATTTGGAGGAAGGGGAGGTTTTGTGGAGAAGATGAGGACCAATTTTAGACGCACTGATTTTGAAGTGTCAGAAGGATCTCAAAGTAGGGAAGCTGGACTGGAGGTTAGAAGAGATGTGAGAATAGATGGACAGGTTTAGGGGTCATCTGCATAGAGGAAATTGTGGAATCACTGATTTAGAATCTGTTTGCAAGAGAGAAAAACTACAGAGAAAGAAGAGGAAAAGGTATGGGGTCAGTTCTTGAGGTATAGTGGAAAGGAGATGGTGGACTGTTTTCAGGAAAATCAAAGATGAAGGCATCTGCTGAGAGAATTGTAGGATTATTGGACTTAGAACTAGAAGGGACCTTAATGGTTACTTTTAATCTTTTCCCCCATTTCTAGCTTTTTCCTTCTTTGCCTACCAATATATGTAGGTCTCCCCATCAAGTGAGAGAACTAAGAGGTGATGAAAAGATGGGGTAGAATTTGAGGTTTGAGAATAGAAAAGCATATTTGGAATAGCCACTATGGGAAATGTGATGGGAAGTCAATCTGGGATCAATCAAAGGAACATGTGTTAGGTGTTTTGTGGAGGAGATTCTTGGTCATGTACAAGCTTGACTAATCAGCGTCTGAGGTCTCTTCCAGCTCTTAGAGCTCAGAAGTATTTTGTCATCTGCTGAAAACGAAAACTCCTGGAGGACTGTTTCATTTTTGTTTTGAAATCCTCAGCACCAAGTACTGCGTAGTGCCTGGCACATAGTAGGTGCTTAACTAGTGTTTTTTGATTGGTTGATTGATTGGCACATACTATAAACTTAAAATGCTTATTGAATGAAGGCATGAATAGTTCTGTGATTTAAGGAATTGAAAAATTATACTTACTTGGAAAGAAATATCAGGTTTCCTGAATCACAAGACCATCATTAAAGTCAGTAAGTTTTATTCCTAGGTCCAGCAGAAAGACTGTGATTCATTTCCTCTCCAAGTAAATATACAAAAAATTTTAAACCACTCCTTTGTCCAGAAATAGGATGGTTATTAAATAGCTAAAACAAAATAACCTTCAGTTAAACACCATACTTATTGCTGATACTGTGGAGGATCTTTGTAGGATAAAATGGGAATAATTTGGTAAAAAAATGTACTTTTCTGCACTAACTATCAAGTTTTTATATTCTGAGGCACTTTACTTTTCACACCCTCTGCTTACTTTGGTCTCAGTAAATTCCTGGATAACTTCTCTTTATCTCTGTGTTTCCTTGTTTTTTTCCTCACTAAGAAGTCTCCTAACTGTTCATTTAACTTCTTTCTGAATGTAAGCTCCTTGAGGGCAGGGACTGTTCGTTTTTGTCTTTGTATTCCTAGTACTTAGTACTGCCAACATTAGGCACATTTTGGAATTGAATCCAATACTGGTTAAACCTCTTCAACTTTCTTTTCTAGTGCGGATAATCTGTTTCTCTCCAGCTTTCTCCTCTAGTGTTCCGTACATAAAATGCATACATCCAACATCCCACCACTGTGAACATCAATACTCAGTCTGTGTATATCTTTTCCCAGTCTCTTTGGAAGAAAAACAAAACAATCAGCTCTTGGAATCACTAAGCTTCATCACTCCCATCTGTTTTCTTAGGCTGGAGCTGCTGACTTTCTCATCAATAGTTCATTGGTTGAAGTCTGCTGCCTGCTTTTGAAGTTCCTATAGAAATGGTGTCAAATAGGAGGAAAAATTTCTTAAAGAGATGGAAGAGCTTCCTGCTGTTGAACAGAAAATCAAATAGAATTTTAACTGATTTCCTCCTCCTGCTTTCTTTAGCAATGACTTCTTTACAGTTTTCTGGCTTCATCCATAGCAAGGATGTCAGTAGGGGTATGAACTTATTAGCTGTGGGACAGAGGTTAAGAGTATGAACACATCAATAAAGGTTTGTGGACTTGTTTAAATCTCTCTCTGTTTCCATATTTTGGACAACCCAGTACCATCACTGTGGAAGCAGAAGAGGACTATGTAGGACTAGTGCCATTTTGTATTTTTATCCACTTCATGGCCTCTGGGTGGTTAGCCACTAGTGTTGAGTCTCTGCATTTAGTGAGGCTAGTTCTTAGGTGACAGATGCACAGTTTAGGTTCATACTCAAAAAGGGAATAGTAAGAGAGGAAACTTGAAAGGCAGAGTGGTATCAGTCTGTGGAGGGTTTTTAATGTCATGCTGAGGGCTTTGAATTTATTTGGCATCCATAGGGAGGCATTACTGGGGATTTAGCAAAGGAAGGACATGATCAGATGTATGTTCAAGGAGAATAAATGTGGCCCTATTGTGCATAATAATAATAATAGTAGTGATGATAATGATGATAATAGCAATTCAAACTTATATAGAAGGGTATAATTTATGTGAGAGGCAACATAGCAAAATAGATAGAGAACCAGCCTCCAGCCTTGAAGCCAGGAAGAGTCAGGTTCAGGTTATGCCTCTGACAAATACTGGCCAAGTGATCCTAGGCAAATCACATAACCTCTCAATGTCCCTGGCAGCTCTCTAAGACTGTGAGATGCATAGATGGTGCTGACCTGAGGGACGGGTAGGATGGTGTGTATTCCTGGGGATCCTCACATGTGTTACTTAAACCAATGCCCCCCTTTTTTTTATCATTTATAATCCTCACATGTGTTACTTAAACCAATGCCCCCCTTTTTTTTTCATCATTTATAAACCTCTTTCCTCTAATGATCCTGTGAGTTAGTACAAAAATGAACCAATTTTTATGATAACCCTATGGGCATAATGATACTTAAATGAAGTTTCAGTGAAGAAAGTGCTTTGTAAACATTAAAATGCTGAGGATCTAAAGACTTTTTAAAACAAACTTTAATACTATATAAATGCCAGTTATTATTATTAGTCCATAGAATGCT